GCCGCCCCGCGCGGCGAGGAGGTGGAAGCCGCAAGCGGGCGCGCTCGCCCCGCCGAGGGCCATGCGCCGGCGGCGATCCCGCGGCCGCGAGGGCGCCGACGCCCATGAATTAAGAATTTATGGTCCAAATCCACAAATGGGGTCATTCACGCTCTCCTCGGCAATCTCAGGCCCTCGGACAACAGCTGTCCGGGCGCTTCTGCCGGAGCGACCCGCTGCGCCGACTGCGAGGTCGGGCGTCCGTCGAGCCCCGCGCTGGGCTCAGCCTCGCGCCCGGCAGCCTCATGGAGATGATCGTTCCGGTATGTGGCCGGGGCGATGCACCGATATCGCTACATTGCACCACGGTTCGTGTATTCTGGACAATCGGATATGTCACGAGTAAGTTGGAACCGTGCTGGATTGTCAAGCGAGGTCAGATTGGCCCCAGCTCCATGATTCAAACAGAGGTAGGCGAGTGAACTATATCGACAGTTCCCTAGATTCACGAGTCACAGGTCGCACAATTGAAATAATTAACGGCGTACCTACAGCAAGCGCCGAGCCGTAGATATTTCGGGAGCGGAGTCTATCGGGATGAGGGGAAGGCGCGCGCACGGCCGCATAGTAGTAGACCACGAAAAGTAACGCTTGAAAGGACACGGCGTCCACGCGTACCTCGAGAAAGGCGAGCCAAGCACGAGCTCCCAGAATGCGGCCCCCCAGTAAGTGTGCTTCGATATCTCGTGCGTCATTTGAATTGGGTCGGCAGGGAGACAAAGGGCCCGGCAAGTGGCAAGGCTCTCTGTCGGCGACCACATGCGACTGTCCGACAGTGGGAGAAGTCCTGGTAGCTAACGCAATTGCGAACCTCCTGGGACGTCTGCAAGCCTACCTATCACCATGTGGAAACACAGCGTTAGCAAGACTGCGTTCGCCACAGCGTTTGGCGCTCATGCAGGATGCGGAGACACGCGCCGACCACGTTGGCACGAGAGGTCCAATCATTCAGCGCAGCATTGGCAGAGGCCCACTGATTTCTACTCCTTGTCATGACGTCCTCAACGGTACGGTGGTGGATCAGAGCTGGCAGAATCGAGTGGGCAATGTTTGTATCCTTGCTGCGGACTCAGTGCGCTCTCGGCGCAGCTTCAAGGGGGCCTTGCCTGTGTGATGCCACGGGCATCTTCAACACCCTCGATCGAAATGTTGGAGGCTCCAAGAACGACCGACGCGTGTCTATCGATCTGTCGATACGCAGGGGCAGTTTGACTTGTATCGGAGGAACTACCCGCTGACGCATCCCTCTGCGGCCGTAGATGAACTCCACGCAGCTCCAGTTGCACAAGATCAGCATGATGGAGTTGACGGCGCATCAGGAATTCCTCGCTCCCCGTCGGCATGACTCCACCGCTAAAGTCAGGTTCCGAGCTGCGGCGCCATCGCGTCAGCTTCCGTCGTCTTCGTTGCCGTCCGGGCCGAGATCGGAGGAGGGGAGAGAGCCTCTTTACGTTTCACCACACACACAACGGCCTCTGGAAGGAGGCTGTTCCGTCGAGTCCGTGCTTCTCACATGCGTGCGATGGGAAACAACTTCGTGCTTGCGATACAATATCCCTACTCCAGCGAGTCAAAGAGTGTTGAATTAATCAACATTGGGGCGGAACTTACATCGCGTGAGTTTAATCGATTATCCAGGTCACTTTCGTATGTGCCTTTTCTGTACTGATGATGTATTATGGTACCCTCCGTGTTATGTGTGTTTACGCACGGGTCTGAACAAAAACATCACCACTCTCATTTGTTGACGACGTTGGCGCGTCAACATCATTGGCGCCCCCCTGTGTCGCCAGGCGCATGAAAAAGTTCTAGACGCTTCGCGTAGCCCCGCCAGACCTGCGCGCGCGCGCCGGCAATCAGTTTTGCCCGTTGCCCGAGCTGACACTTGCGACGCCGCTGGCGCCCTCGCCTTCGGCTGGGGCCAAAAAACACCAGCCCATCCAGAAACGACGCCCAGGGGAATTGCATCGATCAGGGAAGTGGGCAGCGCAGCTCACAGAGGAAGGGCCCCCCAGTGGAGGCCTCTTGGAGCGTCTCGGGGGCCTCTTGGCGGTCCCGGACTTGGAGGCCTCTTGGGCGCTTGCTGTGGCCTCTTAGGACCGTCTGGGCGCCTCTTGGGGCCCTCTTGAAGCGCTCTTGGGAGCCTTGGGAGCGTTCTTGGAGCCCTCTTGGGCCATTTTGGAGCCACCTTGAAGTCTCGGATGGCCATCGGAAGCGAAAAGGCGAGAAAGCCACAAAAATCTATGTTCCGAAGGTTTTGGAAGGATGTGGGCCTCTGCGGAGCCTCCAAGGGGAGCTCTTTGGCCACTTGGAGCCGTCTTGGAGCGGTCTTGGGGCCTCTTGGAGCATCGTGGGAGCCATCTTGCGGCATCTTGGGATATCTTGAGCCATCTTGGAGGTCATATTGGGCTCTCTCCCAGGCGCTCTTGGAGTCACCTTTAACAGTTAGCAGAGCCCCCCAGGGGGCCTAACTGTGGCCAGCACTTTTTTGGTTGAGATCAATGATTTGGGCAGTGTCGCCGAGGCCTCTTGGAGCGTCTTGGGTGCCTCTGGGGGGCCCCTTGGGGCCTTTTGGGGGTCTCTTGGGGGCCTCTTGGGGGCATCCTGGGGGCCGATTGTCGGCCTCCTCGGGGCCTCCTGGCCACTTGTTTGGGCCCTCTTGGGGCACCCTTGGGAGCCTTGGGGGCGCTTTCAGGGCCATCTCGGAGGAGACCGATCAAAGAAAGGGGGGGTTCTTAAGTGGCGCTGCCCCCCCAAGAAGCCATAATGGGGCCAAAAGGCTTTTTAGTAAACCAATGCTTTGGGTTTCCTCGCCGACGCCCGTTCGGACGTTCCGACCGCTCGCGGAACGCCCCGTCCAGGTCCAGGGGAGGGGGTCGGGGGAGGGGTCAAGTTACCCCCCCCCCCGCCCGCAAGCCGTCTCGCTCACTCCCACCCGCCCTCCCAACACATGCGCAGCACCCGAGTCTGGCCCGAGCCTCAGCATATTCAGCAGTCGTCTTGGGATGGGCAGCTACTGGGGGCCAATCCGCCGCCGCCGCCGCCTCCGCCGCCGCCGCCGCAGCCGCCGCAGCCAACGCCGCCGCCAAGTGTACTCTGCATTTTTGTTTGACAGGGATGGTGGGGGGGGACGCATCGGGTTGGCTGCGCATGTTCCGAATTTGGAGGCAAAGTGTGTTTTGTATTGTTTGTTTACAAGGGATGGTGGGGGGGGGGCGGCATGGAACCAGGTTGGCCCCCAGTCGCTTGGGGGAGGGGGTGTTTATTAATAGGGAGCAGTGATCAAGAGTCTCCCTCCCCGCCCGCAGGCCGTCTCGTTCACTCCCACCCGCCCTCCCAACACATACGTAGCACCTGAGATTGGCCCGAACCGCAGCATATGCAGCAGTCGTCTTTGGATGAACAGGTACTGGGGGCCAATCCGCCGCCGCCGCCACCTCCGCCGCCGCCGCCCGCCCGCCGCCGCCGCCGCCGCGCCGCCGCCGCCGCCGTCCGCCGCCGCCCGCCACGCCGCCCGCCGCCGCCGCCGCCACCGCCGCCGTCGCCCCCGCTGCCGAATCGCCGCAGCCGAAGCCGCCGCAGCCGCTGCCGCCACCGCTGCCGCCGCCGCCGCCGCCGCCGCCACCGCCGCCGCCGCCGCCGCCGCCGCCGCCGCCCGCAGCCGCCGCCGCCACCGCCGCCACCACCGCCGCAGCCGCCGCAGCCGCTGCCCCCGCCGCAGCCGCCGCAGCCGACAAGTGTACTCTGTATTGTTTGTTGACAGGGATGGTGGGGGAGGCCGCATCGGGTTCGCTGCGCATGCTCCGAATTTGGAGGCATGGTGTGTTTTGTATTGTTTTTTACAAGGGATGGTGGAGGGGTGCCCGCATTGACCCTGGTTGGCTCCCAGTCGCCTGGGGGAGGGGGTGTATATTAATAGGGAACAGTGGTAAACGCCTTCCGGAAGGGGAAGAATGGGGAGTGGATGAGGAAACACCCTAAACCACCTACGCTTTAAAGGGCTGGTGGGACTAGTTGCATGGAGTTGATTTGTTAACCGCAGCTCGCTGTTTCCCCTTCCGTTGGCCCCGACGAACGCAAACACCCAGGCCGCTACTATCGCATCGCATGCAACATTTGGCAAGCCGTGCGCCTATGGTCACCTTCGCCCTGGGTCACTCTTATGTGCAGTCGGCAGAGGCAAGCGTTGGGCCGTCGCACGAAGCCAGCGCTAACTCTTGCGACCGCTTGGACGAGCCCGCGCCCTGCTGCCGGAACAAAAATGAAGCCAGTCATCCCCATGTCGCCCAAAGGGGGGGTGGTGTGGATGGGGTCGGTGATTCGCGCAACGTTGCCGATGCATTGCCGACGCGGCGATATTTGGAGTACGACGTTCTCTGCACTTCGCCGAAGCATCGAGGGCGCGATGCGATCATCGAGCCCCATCTGCTCTGGCCCCAACTGGGCGTCCTCCATCATCTTTCCGGGGCGTAGAGAGTCCATCCAAGCCAGTGCGGCTCGTGGGTAAGGCGTGCGAGAGGTAAACAGCCAGACCGGAATTGCTGACGGCATCAGCCAGTGCCAAGTCCAGGGTCCGCAGGGGGGAATCTTCAGTACGACACCAGGCAGAGCGCACTGCTGGCGTCAGTTGCGGCTACCAGGTCCCAGCAAAGAGCCCCGCCGACGGGCACCAGTGCCGCTCCTCCTCGTCCCCCTCCTCCAGCTCTCTGCCTTTCGGCTCTTGAACCACATGAGATTATTACGTGAAACCCGCATCAGAGAAGGAGATGAAGAGAGAGAGAGATAGAGAGAGAGAGAGAAAGAGCGGAGCAGATGTGCGGAGTGTGGACAACTTCTTTCTGGGCAAGCGCAGCATCCTCGCCTCCTCCAGATGGGAATATTGCAACCAGGATAACCCATGTGTTGAGGTCGAAACTTTTGTTTGAGGAAGGCCAGGGTTCCTCCCAGCACCTCGCCGTCAGCAGCGCATCGTGCAGCTGGAGCAGCAGCCGGCATTGGACCTCGCGGAGCAGTTGCAGGACTTCTGTTTGGCGCCACCCCAGCAATCAAGGGGGAAGAAACGGTGGCCACGTACAGTCGTGCGGGCCCTCAATAGTATTTACCACCACCTCCGCTCCCCCACCCTCCCTTCTTTCCCTGGAGAGGGAAGGGGGGAGCAAGGTGGTGGTGGTATTTATTTTGTGGCCCCGCAAATCGGGGATGCTCGAAGGAGGAAAACGGCACAAAGCATTGTAAATGTGTTGGAGTTCCACGCTGATTTCTTGGATTTGCGCTGGACTTGGAGCCCCCTCCTTGGTGCGAGCAGTGCGCCAGCGGCGACGGCAGACGCGCAGGTGACCTCGAGACGTGTGCGTTTTGGGCTATGCCAACCGCCCGGCAATCTTCAGGTGTCACGAAGGTCCCAGGCAGGCATGCCCGCCAATGGTGTTTTCATCAATACGGTGCCTGGCCTGTTCCAGAAAGGACCTCGCCTTCGAGGGATCGCGAAGCTGACAGCTCGCCCCCTGGGGGAAGGCTGGCGGAAGCCGGCAGAAGTAAGATATACCCCCTCCCAGAGATGAAAACTTTGGATTTTGGGGGGCGGGACGCAGGTACAAGCAGTGATGGAGCGTCTTGTCCTGGATCTAAGCCAACGTAAACATTTTATACTAACCATTGGCGGTCTGTATAAAACGTTGTTCGAGCATGTCTGGCTGAGACAGTCTTGGTTTAGGACGTCGGCTCTAGGTAGGAACAGTGTTGTTGCTATTCGTCATTATTTTGTTCTGAGAACAGTTTGTGTGGGAGCACCGTGACGGCCAGCCCCTGCTCAACACGTGCACAGTATGCCGAGGGCTGTTTCCGCCTCGCTTTAGGTCTTGGCCCGCGCGCTGCCGACGGCGGAGATGCGGGGCCGAGGCGGGGCGTCGCGGATCGGGGGTCGGCGTGGAGGCCGCCGATGGTCGAGGAAATGCAAACATCGGGCAGGGCTAGGACGCGGATAAACCCGTTCCAGAGCGTTACGGAACGCTCTCAGAGCGTTCTGGAACGTTCTGAGAAGGCCGCGGCGCCCGACACATCCTCCAGAGCCGCCAGATCCCAGCGATTCTCGATTGATCCTCACCCGATTTTATCCACGTCTTGGCTTCGTCTTAAGACATGGATTGAGGCGCGTTGATTGGCGACGGGTCTCGTTTCCATACTCGAGCGCGTTCCGTTGCCAAATCGGGCGACGTTGGCTTCACGTTTCGCCCAGATCCGTGGATCTGGTGCCAACGCGCCAGATCCACAAATCCGTAGTTCATGTCAGCGTGTGGCGGAGATTATCTTTAGGAGGTCTCTTTGGGTTTGCCATACGGTGTCCATGGCCCTCCAGTTGCCCCCCGGGATGTCCGTGGAGGCCCCGCGGCCTCGAGAGCACCACTCATGAGGCCCAGAGGGCTCCAGCTCCCAAATTGGGGGCGAGAGAAACTGGAAGCACGCTGGACTGGGAACATCTCTGGCTACTCCGACCTCTGGAGACCTCCAGAGGCCTCCCGAGGAGCGGGAATTACCAGAGGCCTCCTCCTCCTCCTCCTCCTTCTCGATCTCGATCCTCATCGATCCTCACTGTGGATGCGGACGGGAGGAGGCATCCGAGAGAACGGGGGGCGGCCATCTCGGCTCGGACGAGACGGGGGGGATCCCAGTCATCGGTAATTTGGCGCGTCTGGCGCTGGGAGGCGACAGATGCCAGCTGCACGCAGCTGATTCGCTAACCCCCCTTTGCGATCCCCTCCTTTCGTCTGCCCCGACTTTCCCGTAGGCCCAGTCGCGACATCTGGAAAACGCTACCCCTCAGAGGGCTGCTGCTGCAGAAGGCACAGGAATCCAAGCTGCGGCTTGCACCATCAAGATAGCAATATTTGGTAATGACGAATTCCAATATATCCGTGCAGGCTTCCAAGTGGGTGCATCCCCTCAAATGTTCCCATGCTATTCCGAATCGTCGTCGTCATCACTTGCTCTTCTGCGAACCCCCCTCCCATCGACCTCCGCCTGGCATTACTGCACGCCTTGGTCTGCGTCCTCCCTCCCCCTCCATCCCGCTCCGTCGATGACAGCAGGTGCATTCAACAATGCCTTCTGGGACCCTTTTGAAGCCGTTTGGGGAAGAGTTGCGAGGTCTCCTGGAGATCCTTGTGCGCACCCTGAGGGCGGACGTTGGGGAGGCCATGAGATTGTCGCGGCGGTTCTCGGCCCGACCTGGAGATCGTTGGGCGTTTGGGAGTGTCTGAAAGGTTTGGGCGGTTGTCGCCCATCTCGGCATGGTCTTGGGCTATCGTGAGATAGCTTGTGACGGCGATTTGGGCAATCTTGGGGCCGTCCAGGGCTTTCCAGGCCGCCAGGGCGCCGTCTTGGCCTACCCGCACATGGTGGAGGCCATGCGGAAGCAGAGGGTGGGAAATGTTTCCTTGCGCGGACCCCAGACAGTGAGATGTTAGTGGCGGAGGTTGAAGTTATGCGGAGTCAGCTATATTGTGTAAGCTAAGTTGTGTAAATCATACCGAGTAGGCTACGTGGTGTAAGGAATTTGTGTGAGATACATCCCCAGGGCGATGGTGTTTCCTCTGAGGCCCGGACATGCGGCTTTCAGCTCTTGCGCCAGTGCGCATGAAATAAACATTCGCGGGTCCAATTGAGTGGGTCCTGATCCAAATGTGGTTTAGAATTGCGTTGCGGTAGATCATTTTTTCCGCGCGGATTTCATTTTAGGTGTTGTAGACATGGTGTCCGTCCTGTTTTTCACACGGATCCGATGTACGCCTTGTTCTAAGTTTATAATGTTTTATCAAACCAGGTGACGGACGGACATCGGATCTGCGGCGTCCAAGCCAGTTGCTGCTAAGATTCTACGGGAAGGAAGTTTGGTTACGAATTGTCACGGACAGGTCGCGCGTTGTCTCACGGGCTCGAACCTAACAACATGAACACATCTATCCTCACCCCAGTTTGTTGCAAGCATCTTGCCCAGACGTTGCGCTTCTGGCGGCACCGATGGCCTCTCGCCAACTGCTTGTCGCCGCCGGCGCGTCAAGGGGAAAATCCTTTGTCCTGCGTAAGTATGTGGTGTATGGTCTGTTGGGTAAGCTACGCGGTATGACATCTGCGGTGTAAGTTGTGCGGTGCGAGCTATGTTGTGTCAGTTATGCTACCCATTCAGGGCACGAGGCGCCTACGAGGCGCCCGCTGGCGGGAACGTGGCGAAACCTCGGCGGGCCCACTCAGGGCGCGATGCGCCAAAGAGGCGCCCACGAGCGGGAACGTGGTGAGGCCTCGGCGAACCCATCGATCGCACGAGGCGCCCACGGGCAGGAACGTGGGCGAAACCTCGGCGAACCCACCCAAGGCACGACGCGCCCACGAGCCGCCCACGGGCGGGAACGTGGGCGCAACGGCGGAGGACCAATCCACTTGCTTAGAAAGACAAACATGTAAACACAGAAGGGCAAGAACTGATTGGGAAATGCTGGCTTCAAGACATCTGATTGATTTCGATGTGTCTGGCTTGTCTGGAGCCTCAAGCTCTGGAAGGTTCCAATTGGAGTGTCGGAAGAGGTTTGTGAAAGTATGCCAGTTCTGAGGCAGGGTGCTGCTGGGACCCGTCGAGCCGCATTCGTTTCCTCGTAGGGCCTTGCTGCAGCCTTATGAGGCCATGTCTGAACCATTTTTGGCATGTTTTGGCTCTCGTTGGGCGTCTGGGAGCCTTCTTGGGTGGGACATCCCAGGTTTGCGCTCGCTTGAGGACCGTGTTGGGCCGTCAATCGGCCCTCATGATCCATATTGGGACCTTCTGGAGGCCTTGTCGGACTTTTTGGGGAGCTTTTAGAGCAGTCCATCTTGGCATTATCCTGGTGCTCCGTTAGGCCTCTTTGGGTGTTCTTTGCCAGCTCCTCTTGGACCCATCCTGGAGCCAAACAGTTGGAGGATCTGAGGAACGAAATGGAACTCTCAGGTGCGTGAGTGGTGCTGGCCGTCTGGGGGGCATCATGCATTGTGCCAGTGTTTGGCTTATCGCGAGCATCTGGGGTCTTGTTGAGCTTTCTTGGGGTCGTCTTTGAGCCATCTTAGACCAGGTTGGGGACACTCACTGTGAGAGGTCGGCCCATCGTGAACGATATCGCCTCACTTCGGGGCCGTGTGGGGGACGACATCTAAGGCCATCTTGGACCCCTTCTGAAGACTGGAAAGGGGGCTGTCGGCTTGATGACTCCCGCTTTGGATATGATGCAGGATTCTGCTCCTAATTGATTGTGCGATCGTCGAACAAAGGAGACATCTGCAAAACAGTTATCCAAGAAGGACAGGACAGCGTAGTCTTTCTACCAGCACGGCTGTCCTCGGGCTTCGAGCTTGCTGCGCAGACTCTCTCCACCTCTTTTTCATATTCCTCCTTCTCCTAATCCTCCTCCTGTTTGTCGGATCTCGTCCTTTCCGTCCTCCTTCCTCTTCCGCCATCCTCCGCTTCCTCCTCACTCCTCGTTTCTCCCGCTCCGAACAGGTCCTCGGAGGTCCCTCTGGAGGCCTTCGGAGGCCTTGAACGATGCAAGACCGCCAAAATGTGACGATCTGTCTCACCCCTCCCTCCCTTCTTCTCCTCACCCATGGCTTTTCCCAAGGAATTCGGATCTGCGCAAATGGTGTTTTTTTTCTGTCAGTTTGTCCTCAGGGAGTTGGTCGCACCTCGTGACCCAGGGTGTACTTCCAGGAAGCGGCGTGAGTTCCTGGACCGACTTAATCGGGGCTTGCGACCCGAAGGTCCCAGTATGACTACGTCAGTGATCCGATTCCCAGTCCCCTTCCCCTCCCCCCCCTCGCCCCATCGCCAGGAAGAGCAGCGCGCGGCGATGGCGGCGCGCGCGAAGGAGCTCCAGGAGTGCCGCCGCAGGGAGCAGGACCCAGCACCCCGCCTGGCAGGGCCCCGCGGCGGAAAGAGGGAGGTTGTTGTTTAACGCGGGGTGCGGGGTTCACCGTGCTCCGGCCACACGTGCCTGGGACGGGCGGCGCGTATACCGCTTGCGCCACAGTCCAGACCTCACGATAAACAAGCAGGCCCCCCTTCCTGCGGGAAAAAAGACCCGCGCAGGATGCCTGTGCCTCCTGACGTCCAGGGGGCTCTTCTGGCATGCTCGGCAGCAAGCCGAGTCTCACGAATTGCCCTGGGACGGGCACGGTTGGCCGCGATCCTGGCCAGCTGATCGGAGGAAAGGGGGAGGGGAGCAGTGGAAGGCGGAGGCGGGGAAGAGGGAGGAGGGGGGGGAATCAGCGACCAGGTCGCGGCCTGCTCCTCTGGGGAGGCGAGGAGAAGATCAGCCACCGCCTGTTCCGCCTCGGCATCCTCGAAACCACTCAAGTAGGGCGGAGACAGCACATCCGTGGCAGCACGATCTTGCACTGTAATCTCCTCAGGTTCAGAGTCGGAGTCAACAAAACCTCTCTTTTTCGGGGTCGCTCCTGTGGCTACCCCGAGACACAAAACCATCAAAGTCGGGCGCAGGGGCCGTTTCCTTCCAGACGAGGCGGCCAAAGGACATTAAGAAATCACCCAACGAATTTCTGACCTTGTCGAGGTCTGGCGGATACTCCGCGACGTCCACATCATCCACGGAAGAGGGAGGCTCGACCGAGGGAAGGAGGGAATGGACGCTATCAACTAGGGCCGTGGCAAGTGCCTTGCAGAGGCCAGCTGGGTAAGTCTTCTTGCAAGCCGTTAAAAACTGACCGGCCTGATTTTCCCCGGGGAGGACCTTGTGGGCTTGGCGCCCATGTGAGCACCTCCATTCACCGGGAGTGGCTCTCAGCAACGGGGGTAACGTAGCCATTCTGACAAGCAGGATGGTGGTGGGGGCACGGCCTACAGCACTAGGATCCGCCTCTGGACCCTGATGCTCACAGTGATCGAAAGTAGTTAGCGGCGAGCATGGCGCAGCCACTTTGGCTTGTAGAGGGCTCCAATGACAAGAAGTCGGGGCCCGCGGGGTCCACGTTGGGGACGCGGGGTGCTCTAACCAGCCTCCTGTGCCAGCCCTCAGATGTTTTGCTCGAAGCCGAATCAAGGAGTGCAGCACTTGAGAACCGATGCGTAACTGCTTTGATTGTTTCTGAGACACCCAAAGGATACCCCAGACATGTTCTGTACTCCTGAGTGGGGGGGGGGCCCTCGTGCCATCGAGACGCAGACCACGTCTCGCAAGGAGGCCCCCCCCCCGCATTGAGAACTCTATGTCACCTGATGTGCTCGATCCACTCGAGCAACGTGTCCTCGCGCGTAAGATCTCCTCTAACAGGGTCGATCGCTATGTCTATGCTGAATACTATGATCGGTGGTCTGCGCAACTGCATATTTTATCCGCCACTGATCATCACCTGCTCGGCGTTGGCCGCAGTAAAGGTTGAGAGCGTAGAAGGTTGGCTTTCGAGTTAGAATCGGCACCGACTCACGCGTGGGGGCCTGAACGGGGCTCATCGGAGAATCTGTTCATGTACTCGTCGATTTTATCGTCGGGGATGGCGGGGTCGGTTTCGAGAAGTATTTGAGGGCTTCTCGATGAGAAAGAGACCGTGCTAGATCTTCTACGAGTGGGTGCCGAACGATTCCTGGCTCTCTAGCTGCTGGAAGCTCGGTGCGCCATCGGCCTTGACCAACCGCTCGTTGCGTTTGGAGTTTAGTTTCTTCCTCGCACTGTAGCTGCTTGGCCTCGGCAGCTGAAAACTGCGGCTCTGCAGTGGTGAGGCCGATCGCACACTTCAAAGAGTCAAAAGCGAGGTGAGCCGTGAGTGCTGACCGATGTGCAAAGCGCGGGAAGCATGTGTCGCAACGAAGACTTGACCCTTGGTAGTCCCGGGAAAAAAGACACTTTTGGGATGATGCGCCCGACCGATGTGTGTCCGAAGCCCATCGAATTCGAGAACGGGTCAGGCTGCGCCACATACATGTAAACTCTTTGGCATCTTCAGACTCTTGCACCCAAAGACGATGACGCATGTCACCCCAGGCGGGCGGTGCACCTGCCGATTCGAGAACTTGAAAAATCTGCTCCTCAGCTGCACCTGCCAACTCGACTCGCTGAAGCTGCTTGACATGAGCTGCTTGTGCCTGCCGTGCTGTTTGTTTCCAAGTGGTTGGTGATTTGCATGCTTCTAGCTCCCGAACTGCCAGATCATCGTCGGGGGGGGGAGATTTTGAAACCGACGAGCATATAAACGCAACCACCGAAGATCCTCGATAACCATGTGGCCCCAGGACCTCTCCGTGGCCAACTTGGCCTGGTGGACGAGGGCCATGATACGCGGTGGACCCGTTCGAAGTTGGCAGCCAAAAAGGCGAAGCCTGTGTGCGGATAACAACGCAGAGCAAGGCGGGCGACCCGCCCTGGCCAGTACTGCCTCGTTTGGCACTGCGTGCTCCTCAGCGCGAGGTAGGCGACATATAGTGCGATAGCATCGCGGCAGTCCGTCCGGCAAGAAATTGCACTGAGCTGCCGCAAGGCAACCCCGCGCGCTGGATTGAAACAGCCGCCCAGAGCAAATGAGGGAGTCGAGGAAGACGAGGGCGACCGGTTGCTCAATCTAGTTCTGCTTTAAAACTCTTGACGCTTCGCGCATCCCCGCCACTGCGCCCTGGACGCCCCCAGCTTGCCGCTCCCCCCGCGCAGTCAGCCGCTGCTGTATGAGTGGGCCGGCCGGCTTGCGGCGCGTTCTGCTGCTCATTAGGCCGCTGTCGCGACCCGTAGCGCCCCTGACTCCGCTTGCGCCTTTGCTAGCGGACGCGACCGAAAAAAGTGCCCCCACCGGCGTGTTTGTGCGGATCGTACTTGCAGAGGGTTCTCAGCGCGCGGCATGGCACTCACACCGACCGTGGTGGACTGGCGCTTCGGCGTGCAGTTCGTAATTATTTGGCACCCCTGCCACAGGTTTGCTCGATGCACCAGCTTCCCTGGGCGTTGCAGACCAGCCAGTCAGCCCCGCCAGCCGCTGCTGCTCCCCAGCTGCCGCTTCTGAGTGCTGGCCCAGCCGGCTCGCGTGGCGCCGAGTAGCTAATTAGGCTGGCCCGTGCCCCGGGCCCCCTTTCGCCGCCCGCCCTCTGCCGCGCGGTCGCAGCCCAAAAAATATCCTCACCAGCGTTAGTTTAACAGGCCCGTGGCCCGGACCTCTCAGCTCGGCGATTGCGAATCCGCGTCCGCCCGCGACCAAAACAAGCACCCCCACCAGCCCATCCAGAATTGATTGCCAGCTTTCTGGAGGCCTCTTTGGAGGCTATCTTGAGCCATGCTCGGCTTGAGGCTGTCGGAGGCGATCTTGAGCCATGCTCGGCTATCTTGGGTCATCTTGAGGCTGTCTTGAGGCCTTTTAATGGTCCGTCGGAGGCTATCTCGAGCGATGCTCGGCTATCTTGGGGCGCTCTTTTGGCCGCGGCTGGATCCGCTTCGAGATTTTGGCCCGAGCGCAGCCCGAGATCTAGGTCGCCCCCAGGGGCGCGAAGATAATCGCGCATCGCGCATCGCGCCCAGGGCTGGAGCGCCGCTCTTCTCCAGGGGGCGGCGCGCGGGCGCGAAGATAACTGCGCGTCGCGCATCGCGGGGCGCGATGCGCGGCGCGAGGAGGATGAAGAGGGCAGGGGGCGGCAGGAAAGACGCAAGGAAGGAACGGACGATGACAAGGAAGACGAGAAGTCGAGTTTTGAGGATATGTTGCGGTGAGAAGTTATTGGAAGACTCGTAATGCCATTTTGGCGCCATCGTGGGGCCCTCTCGGGGTCCTCGTGAGGCCTTCTTGGGGTCCTCTTAAGGATCTTCCGGGGGGTCTCGGAGCCCTCTTAGGGGCTCTGGGGGGGGGGGGTCTGGGAGGCCTCTTGGGGCCGTCTTGGGCACCATGGCTCAAAAAGCCCCCCCCCCCCCCCCCCTTCGGAGGCTCTCAAACGGCATATTGGGGCCTTCCTGGGGCGCTCTTGGGCGCCTCTCGGGCGATCTTGGGGCCGTCTTCGGCCTTCTCAGGCCCTTCTCGGGCCTCGGTTAGGCCATCTTGGGGCCATCTCGAGGCTTCCAAAGCCCATCGGAAGCGGCAAGGCGATCATGCGAAAAAAACAATGATTTGTCGTGGGCTTTTGAACGGTTTTGGCATCTTGGTGGGCGCCGCGGAGGGCTCGAAGGGCACTTGGATCCGTCTTGGGGCTGCCCTGGGGCCTTGGGGCTATGTCGGAGGCTATCCTGACCAATCTTGAAGTAGCATGGGCCATCTTGGAGGCCATCTTGCGACTTCGAAGTCCTCTTGGAGCAAGCTTGGGCCATTTTGGGCGCTCCAGCGCCTCGCCCCCCCCCCCCCCCCCCCCCCCCACCCCACACACACACGCACACACACACACACACACACACACACACACACACACAACGCACGCACGCACATACACACACACACACACACACACACACACACACACACACACACACACACACACACACACACACACACACACACACACACACACACACACACACCACACACACACACACACACACACACACACACACACACACACACACACACACACACACACACACACACACACACGCACACACACACACCCGCCTGGCCCAGGGGGGGGGGGGGGGTAAGGGGAAGGGGTTTCAGTGGAAGAGAAAAAAACACGTTAGACCACCTACGCCCAGAGGGCTGGTGGGACTTTGTTCTTGAGGAGTTTCCATTGCTGGCTGCAACGTCGAAGACAGTGCGCCAGCTCGGGCCCCATTGAGGCCGACATGTCGCGCATGGTTCCGAGGTGGGCATATTCTTGAACTCGATGTAGCGAAGCCTCTCCGAGCGCGCGCGTGCACTCGCGCGCGCGCGTGCACTCGCGCGCGGCGTTGCACGCGTCCTGAACCAGGGTGCGCCGAGCCTC